ACCCCTTGGTGTCCCGTGTCTGTAATCCCTGCGCTCTGGGAAACTGAGGCAGCATTGCGGGATTGAGTTACACAGCGACACGCGCACACACGCAGATGGAGCTAGATAGACGCAGATGGAGCTAGATAGACGGCTGACTGACTGGATTGGGTAGGGAGAAGAGGGGGAAGGGAGGGGAGGGTTTCTCCACGGAGTTGAAGAGGGTCTGGAGTCAGGAAGAGACCAACGATTTCATTCCTTATCCCTCTGGGCAGGCTGAGATTTCCCTTTCCTTCCGCAGGGACCCCAATGACCCTCGAGACTCCAAGTCCCCACAGTGGCCACCGTACACCACTGGAGCGCAGCAATATGTGAGCCTAAACCTGAAGCCGTTGGAGGTGCGGCGGGGGCTGCGCGCCCAGACCTGCGCCTTCTGGAATCGCTTTCTCCCCAAATTGCTCAGCGCCACCGGTAGGGGCGGTGTCGGGGGGCAGGGGACGGACGAGGCGGCAAGGGTTGGAAGGAGGGGAGACAAAAGGGGTGCAAAGACAGGGTGTAATCCCTCTCTTCTCCACCTCCCCTAGCCACGGAGGCTCCCTGCACCTGCCCAAGCCCCGCCCACGGGGAGGCTGCCCCGAGGCCCAGGCCAGACTTATCCCTGTCCCTCCTCCTTCTCTTGCTTTTCCTCCTCCACTCGCGGCTTCCGTGGCTGTGACTACAGTCTCTTCCCCCTCTGGCCTCAGAGGACACTTTAGTATGTGGCTGGGAGGAAAAAAAGAGGCCCCTCTCAGGGATACAGCGCCCCACTCCCTTCTCAAGCGGAGACGAGCTAGACAGACTCAGGGATCTACACACCATTGTTTAAAGCGAAAATTCAAAAACCAGTTTTCTTTTTTAATGTAAAATTATCATTTGCAAGTTGAGCCTGATATTGAGGGGGGGAAGGACCCGGGGCTAGACAGAGCCAGCTAACGGGGCTTATAACCGCCAACCATCTCTGTATCTTCTCTCCCCCCCCCCAACCCATGGACCCTCCTCCCATTCCGATCCTGTCCGTCCCCTCCATCTTCCGGTCATTGCTCTCCTCCTCTCTCCTTCCTGCCGCCCTTCTCCTCCACCTCTGCTCTCATTCTCCGGATCATCATCATCCACTGTTCTCTTTCCACCACACCATTCGGCCTCCTACGTGGCGTGCGTGGCGGCGCCCTGGACGGCCCCTCTCGCTGTCCGACCTGCTGGGTTTCCTCCTCCCGCTCTCGCGGGGCGCCCCGGCTGCAGACACGCTGGACGAGGCGGAGCGCCAGTGGAAGGCCGAGTTCCACCGCTGGAGCTCCTACATGGTGCACTGGAAGAACCAGTTCGACCACTACAGCAAGCAGGAGCGCTGCTCAGACCTGTGACCGGGGACCTCAGGTCCCGCCGCCCTGCCCCAGCCCCTAGCTGTATATACACTATTTATTTAAGGGCTGGGATATAACACAACCGAGCCCCAGGCCCTGCACACCCCGTCCCGACTCCCCCACCAGGGGCTCCCCATCTTCTGCATGTCTGGGGCCGAGCCCCCCTCCCCGCGGTGCCTTCGCCCCTCTGGGCCGCCAATAAACTGTTACAGCCACTAGAGTATGTGCGACTGGCGGGAAGTCGGGGCGGGGACCGAGTCTCCGGGACGCGGGGAACAGGAGCCCCGGGATTGGCGCACACTGCTGCACCTTGCCCGCAGCATCCGGCGGAAGCAAGTCCTGGACCCGCCCCCCTTGGGCGGAGCTTGCGAGTGCGGAGCAAGTCGTGCTCGCTCGCGCCTCTCCGAAGGCTCGGAAGTCGTTGTCTACTTGGGGCGCCCCTCCTGCTTCGTGCTTCGGCTCGGTGAGGGTTCCCCGGGCCCGCGCGCTCACCCTGCCCGCAGCTAGCCCCAGAAAAGACCGGGAACCCGGAACTCGCCCCGCCTCGGTGACGGCTGCCCCACTGAGCGCCCTGGAGCTGCTGAGAGACGTGCACCTGGGCCTGGCGCTGCCCTGCCGGGGTCCCGCCCGCCTGGCCCTGCTCTCGGGCCACTACCTGTACTATCACTACGGCTGCGACGGCCTGGATGACCGCGGCTGGGGATGCGGCTACCGCACCCTGCAGACACTGTGCTCCTGGCCGGAGGGCCAGTCCTCGGGCGTGCCTGGGCTGGCAGCCATACAGGCTGCCCTGGAGGACATGGGCGACAAGCCCCCCGGGTTCCGGGGCTCTCGGGATTGGATCGGCTGTGTAGAGGCCAGCCTCTGCCTTGAGCACTTCGGAGGACCTCAGGGACGCCTGTGCCACGTGCCCCGTGGAGCCGGACTTGTGGGAGAACTGGAGCGGCTCTATTCCCACTTCCTGGAGGGCGGCGGCCCAGTAATGGTGGGAGGGGACGCAGACGCTCAGTCCAAAGCCTTGCTGGGAGTCTGCGAGGGGCCAGGGAGGGACACCTATGTACTGACACTGGACCCACACTACTGGGGCACTCCGAAGAGCCGTAGTCAACTGCAAGCCGCTGGGTGGGTGGGCTGGCGAACGGTAAGCAGCGTCTTTGATTCCAATTCCTTCTACAACCTGTGCTTGACCAGACGTACCTGATCAACGCACCCAGCCTGCACTGTGGGACAGGCACCTGTTACTTCTCACAGGTGCCCAGCAGACAAGTCTTTTCCAGCACCAAAAATCTGGGACAGGGGCAATGACACAGGCAGGTGGATCTGAGTTCAGAGCCAGCCTGAAATTCTAGGCAAGGCAGGGTTACAGAGAAAGACACTGTTCTCAAAATAACAAACTGGTATAATTCAGCTCACTATGGTCCAGCCTGTGTCTGGGAAAAGGCGTACCACACAGTTAAGAGACACTACTGAAGTGCTTTTACTAGCAGGAAAAATAACGTACAAAACAATTCTCAGCTGATGGGGTAAAGTAGTCGGGTACAGATGGTAATGATGTAAAGAGAGGGCAAGTGGACGGCTCAAAAGAAATCAACGTCATCTGGGGCATCCAGGTCCCGGTACTCCACTATGGCCCTCGGGTCTCCTCGAACCATCCTGTGAAATAAAGGAGTGTGATGGGACACAAGTGTGATGAGACCCAAGTGTGATGGGACACAAGTCCCTGGGCAGAGGAGGGGAAGAAGCCTGGGTCCCTCTCCTTTCAGGCTCACCTGTTCCGCGGTTTCCCAGGATATCCTCCTTGGCCTCGAAACGCATCATAGTTCCCGCGGCCGGCACCATATGGAGCATGGGGGTATGGAGGCCCTCCTGTTGGGACTGCAGGGCGGACAGCACCAGCTATGAGAAAGACCCGGGTTGAACTAGAAACTGACCTCAACCTCAGCCTAGCTAAGCTGTGTAGCCCCCCACCAACCAAGCCCCTACATCGCCTTTCCACTCACCTCCATAGCCCAAGATGGGAGGCCGGGGCTGACCATACGGCATCAAACCCTGGGGCGTCTGGTGTGGGTAGGGAAGTCCTGGGGTCAGGCCTGGGGGGAGTACAGCAGGAACAGGAACATGAATTACTGCGGGGGAGGAAAGGGGTGACGGATTCTAGGAATGGGGCCTGGGGATTGGTGGGTAGGCTGCTTCTCAAGGACTAAGGAGCCCAAGAAGAGATGGGCAACCCCATGGATCGTATCTTACTCTGGGCGGGGCCGGGGGGCTGAGCTGGCTTGATCTCGGGCAAAGCAGGGCGCTTGGCGTCCGTGAGGAAGTTGTTAAAAAACGCCACCTCCTTCTTCACCTCTTCGATCTTCTCCGCGTGCTTGTTGAAGATGTGTTTGCGCACAAACTCCGGGCCCTGGGGGAAGAGGGCGAGGACAGAGGACGCTGCAGGCCCTTCCCTCCGACCCCCCCCTGGAAGGTCACAGGCCTCCTCCAGTCCTTTGGGGGTCCTGCTGCCCCGAGGCCACCTCCCAGTCCACCCACCAATTAATTCTCTTCACATCCCAGACCTTGAATTTCTTGCCACTGAGAGGACATAGCCACTTATCCTTGCCCAGTTCCTGCGTGTTGGAGGTGACAAACTTCTCTACTTCCTGCTCGGGGTCTTTGCGACCCATCTTCTGGGCCTCTTCTTCAGAAAGGGATTCGCGCACACTCAGCAGTGGGGTCAGTTTCTCCTCAAACGTCTTCTGCCACTCCATCACTGTGTGGGGGACAGGGCAGGATGAGAGGGGGCTGGAAGCAGGGGTGAGGAGGGACAGAAGACAGACTTGGGGGAGCTGGAGTGTACCTTCTCCGTGGCTGATCCGGTTGGGAGGCATGGGCCCCCGGACGTGGATTATGCCGCAGCGGTTAGGCATCTCGTCCTCATTGGGGTACTCACAAGTGTTGTAATAATCCAGAGAATGCACAATGCGCAGATAGAGGAGGAGTTTATCTAAGACCTGAGGGAGGGACACACAAGGTCACGACTCAGCCCTGCACCTCTCGGCCATTCTACCCCAGGTGGTCAGAACCGGCACCTTGATCAGCTTCTCATCCCTCTCCACATTGATCTCTGCTGGGTTGCCTTCCTTGGGAGGCTCCTCAGGAGGGGGCCCTCCACTGCTCCCCAGAAGCTCCTCCTCCTCGGCACTCACTTCCTCAATCAGGTAGTCAGTGATGTTCTTCAGGATGGGGTTTTGCGAGGGCAGACTCTAACAGGGATGAGACGGACAATGAGGCAGAGCAATCAACCCAGAAACTGAGACACGGGGAGGTGCCTCCTACCACTCGCCACAACCCTAGGCTCTTCCTTCCTGGCCCAGAATGACTGCGCTGCTGTTGGGAGCTGGGGGAGACACCACCCAGAGGGGCAAATAAGGGAGGTTGTGGGTGGGACCCAGGGGTCATGAAAATAAGGAAGTGAGGTAGGTCAGATGGCAGGTCAGGGGTAGTGAGTTATCTCGGTTGTTCGTCAGTCACAGACTCAACTCCTGTTCTACAATTTACCCCATTCCCACTACTGAACTGGGGGGGGGGGGCACTGGAAACAAGCCCCGTGAGTCACTGACTGTGGGCGCGGGAGGTGTCCCGGGCTCCGAGGCCCAGAGCTGGGTCCTGTCATCCAGGGTGTGGATCAGCTTGGCGGCTAGTTTGATGTCATTGCGCACTATCTGTTTGTGCTGTGTGATGCCGTTGATGTTGCGGACACGCCGGGTCAGGTCTCTGTTCACACCAGGACTCAGTTCACACTCGCGGAGCTGTAGGGACACAATCAACAAGCTGGCCAACCACTACCCCTGAGGACTGGGCCCTATCTATAACCTTGGTGGTTAAACCCAAACTCCCCAGGGACGGGGACCCGAGGGGTCACAGCCCCACAGCTTCTCAGACAGTGAAGCAAGGTGAACCTTCATGGCTACACGTGGTCATGGGAGGGGTGGACAGGCAGGGCCTGGCCATGCTCCCTGCAGCCCGGGCCCAGCACTTACTCGGATGTTCTGCAGGTTCCAACATATCTCTTTAATGTTAACACTGCGGTCAAAAGTCACCCAGCCACGGCGAAAAAACCTACAGGAGAAAGCCTGTCAGCACAGTCCTGGATGGAGCCAAGGACCCACTGCCTCGTCTCCTCGCACCATCCCAAGGTGTCCAGCTCCTCACCTCCTCTCGGGCTGGGGCTCTGACAGTGCCACTCGCATAAAGCCTGGGTATCTTTTACAAAGCTGCAGGAACCAAGGAAAGAGAAGCCAGTGACTCCCTCCTCATCTCCACTCTTTAGAACCTAAAGAAGTAGCCTTCACCCCAGCACCCCAGAACCACAATGCACACCAAACTATGGCAAAGGCAGCCTCACCCCAACCCCGCTGTCCCACTCACAGAGATGATCTCTGCCCTGGAGATGTTGGGGGCGATGTTGCGCATGAAGAGCGAGCAGGTCTTGTGCAGGGGCCGGGGCTTACACTCCAGCCCGGCAGCGGCGGCGGCTGCAGCCGCATCCTTAGGTTTCTCCCTCTCCTCCTCCTTGGGCTTCTCCTTCTCCTTAAGTGCTTCTTCTGCGCAGGAGAGAGAGGAACTGGTATGGGGTTCTTTACTTGGGTGGAGCAGCAGTCACAGCAGGCATCACCCCACAGAACCCCTTCCCACCAGACTGTCTGCAGCACGCTCTCTCTGACCCCCCACACCCCCACGCAGTAAAACAAAGGAGCGCACCAGCCTCCTCCTTCTCCTCCTCGGCTTGCCCACTCTCCGACTCCGACTCGGACTCGGACACGCTGCCCTCATCGAAGCTGTCGTCACCGCTGTGCTTCCGGTTCCGCTTCTTGCTCTGTAGGAGCGGGAGCCGGTCAGTCAAGACCCCCGGGATCCGCCCACACCCCGGCCTCACCACACACCTCACCTTTTTGGGTTCCTTCTCAGTCTCTTCTTTCTTCTCCTCCTTGTCCCCGTCGGCCTCAGACTTCTTGGTCTTGTCGTCATTAGGACTGTCATTTTCAGCCTGCAGGAAGACAGTCTGAGAACGCCGACCTCTCCTGGGGCCGCTGCTGCACCAGGACCCCCAGACCCCCATCCCCAGGTGGAGGCTCCAGCTCCCTCAGCCCGCCTTGCTCGCTCGTTCGTGACCTGTTTGCCCTCTTCTTTCTTCTCCTCCTTGTCGTTGACCTTGCGCTCTCCGTCCCCCGGGCCTGC